ACACACACACACACACACACACACACACACACACACACGAGTGATATTCCATTGTCAATATTGTTGTGAAATTTAAGGTGGGTGGGGTGGTGCATGCCTGTAACCCTAGCTCTTGAGGTAAAGGCAGGAGAAGCAGGCATTCAAGGTCATCCTTGGCTACTTAGTGAGTTCAAGGCCAGCCTGGGATATACCTTTGTCATAATGTACTTTATCTTAGAACTATTTCCATGTCAGTACATCTAGATCTATCTCATCATTTAATCTATGGTAGATGATTTCAAAGAGCATGACTGTACCACAGTCTATCTAACTCCTCTCTTCTTTTTTAAAGATTTATTTATTTTAAATACTTTATGTTTTTATTTTATGTGTATAAATGTTTTGCCTGTGTGTATGTAAGTGCACCACATATGTGTAATGTCTGAAAAGGCTAGAAGAGATTATCAGATCTTCTGGAACTGGAGATAACGACAATTGTTAGCTGCCATGTGGATGCTGGGAATTGAACCTGGGTCCTCTGGAAGAACAGCAAATGTTCTTAACCACTGAGCCATAACTCCAGCCCTAAAGATTTATTTTATTCATTTAAAATTATGTGCCTATGTGTGTCTGTGAGGCCAGAAGAGGGGCTGATCCCCTAGAACTGGAAGCCACTTGACATGGATGCTGTGAACTAGACTCAGGTTTTCTGCAAGAACAGTACATACTCTTAACCACTAGGCCATCTCTCTAGCCCCCTTTTTTCTTTTCTTTATTTTTTTTTGGTGTGTTGTGTGCCTGTGTGTATGTTTGTTATGTGTATCTTCATGTGTGTCAGGGCATGTATGTGGAGGTAGGCGGATGAGCTGAGTGTTGGCCCTCTCCTTCCACCAACTAGACTCAGGTTTTCTGCAAGAACAGTACATACTCTTAACCACTAGGCCATCTCTCTAGCCCCCTTTTTTCTTTTCTTTATTTTTTTTTGGTGTGTTGTGTGCCTGTGTGTATGTTTGTTATGTGTATCTTCATGTGTGTCAGGGCATGTATGTGGAGGTAGGCGGATGAGCTGAGTGTTGGCCCTCTCCTTCCACCGTGTTTGAGACAGGCTCTCTCTCTCTCTCTCTCTCTCTCTCTCTCTCTCTCTCTCTCTCTTCATCACTGATTTCACCAGGCTAACTGGCTCAGAAGCTTCTTGGGATTCTCCAGTCTCTGAGCCTCTCATCTTCCTGCGGGAGTGCAGGGATTCAGCTTTCTATGGCTTCTGTGGATCTGAAGTCAGTGCACGCTGCCAACACTTTACCCCCTGGACTATCAAGTCCTGTCTACCATTTTTCTTAAATTAATATCTGTTTCCAGCTTATGTAATTTCTTACCTCTAACCCCCTACAGTACTGGGACCAAACTCAGAGTCCCGGGCATGCTAGACTAGTACTCTACCACTGAACTACATCCCCAGCCCCTGCTTGTTTATTGAGATGGGATCTCACTGTGCAGCCCAGGCTGATCAGCCTACCTCACCTCCAAAGTTATGGCATTACAGGAGTATAAACCACCATGCCAAGCTTATGCTATTGCATCCCTTATATGCTTTTTTTGTACATGTGTACAATGCTTCTTTAGGGATGTGCACAGTGCTGCATTGCTAGGGACCCCTCATTAAAAATGTTAAGGGATGCTGTCAAGAGCTGGTCCTGCATGGGCTTCTCCAGTTTACCTCTCCATCATGAAAGGTGGAGTCATCCATCACATCCTTACAACCTTAGGAGCTGTCAGTATGAACTTTTCACTAGCTCTTTTGTATTTGGGTACCTTAACTTACATCCCCTGCCCCATGCTTACAATATTAATGAAAATAAACATACAGTGTAAGTTGCCTGTTAAATGTCCTTGACTCATCTCTCCATTAACTTTTTTTTATTGATTTGGGAGATCTATATTCTATTAGATTTCCTTACATAAGCCACAAATGTGTTCTCCCACAATGTTGCTTTTTGTAGAAATGATGTTTACACTCTTTTCTTTTTAAAAAATATTTTATTTATTAAAAAAAGACAAAAAGGACAAAAATATTTTATGGTTTTTTTAAAATTTTATGTGTATGAGTATATTGCTGGCATGTATGTAAATGCACCCGTGTGATGCAGTACCCACAGAGATCAGGAGAGGGAATTGGATCCCCTCAAACTGGAGTTATGGATGGTTGTTAGCTGCCGTGTGGATGCTGGGAACTGAACCTGGGTCCTCTGCAAGAGCAACCAGTGCTCTTAACTTCTGGGCCATCACTCCAGCTCCTACACTGTCTTTTTCATATGTAACTTTAATTTGGGGGGGAAGTCAAATTTATTTTTTCTTAAATTTATTAATCTTCTGTTAAAATTCTTTTCCTTATGGTCTTTGGATTTTACATAAGAAAGTCTTCTATATTTGTCTAATCATGTTTATTTCTTGGTTATTTTGAGATAGGGTCTCTTGTAGCTCAGGCTGACTTTCAATTCTCTATGTGGCTGACAGTGACTTGAACTCCTGAGCCTCCTTCCTCCATCTCCTCAGTGCTGGAACTACATGCATACATCATCACCCTGCCTGTCATATCCATTTCTAACATCTCATATTTAGTGACTTAGCTCTTCGTTAGTCTGGAATTTATTTCTGTGAATGGCATATTGTTGTGTGCAATTGCTCTTTTTTCCTTCTGTAGCTTCTAGCTCTGAATTGTTACTGAAGTTCAGAAACCCTTTCCTTCAATCTACCATAGATCTCCAAATAATGGATCTCCTTTTCTCCCCAGACTCCACTCCAGGGGAAAGAAGGGGAGCAAAACCATAAAGAAACTGATTTGCAAGGCAGGAGGAATCCAAGTTTGAGGCCAGCTGCAGGTCAGGCTGGAGACGGGAAGAAGGCACTCTCAGCTAAGCAAACTGGGGAAGAGGTGGTATGATGCAGGGGCTGACATCCTAAGACCCATAAACTAAATGACTGCCTCTCATTTCTACACAGTTGGTAAGTTAACAATGGTTTTCCCATGGTTTAATGTTTTATTGACTCAAGAGGCAGAGACAGAAAGATCAAAAGTTCAAGACAATCCTCAGCTACATAGAGAATTCAAAGCCAGCCTGGGTTATATGAGACACTGTTTCAAAGTAAAATTGTCAAAGGTAAGGTAATATTTTATGGCATATAAAATATGCAAATTCAAATTTCAGTGCCCATATATAAAATTTTATTGAAACTCAGCCACACCCATTTATACATGATCTGTGACAGCTTTTGTGCCATGATGGCAGAATTGAGTACTGTGGGATTGCAGAGATGGCTTGGTGGATAAAAACCCTTGCCATGCACGTGTGAAGACCTGAGTTCAAATTTCTAGAACCTTTGTGAAAGCTGGATGTGCGACTTGAGTGTCTCTAACCCCAATGCTCCTATGGAGGAGACTGGAGGTGGAGATGGGAAAACCTGTACAAGCTTGAGATCCAGTGAGCTTGGCATAAGTAGAAAAAAAAAAAAGAGAGGTCTTGTCTCTCCAAAAGGTGGAGATCCAGGACGGACACCCAAGGTTGTCCCCTCAAATCTACAAGCAAACAATCATATGCACATCCTCTTTTACACACGAGTGAACATGCACGTAGGTGTACACATACACACAGACAGTATTGTGACAGAGACCAAATGGCCCATTTTTTAAGAATATTTACTTCCTGGTTCTTTATAGGAAGTTTGTGGACCATGGATATAGAGACCGGATGGCAGGTTTAGTTAGACTTGACCCTTCCTTGCTGGACAATGAGCTAGGAAGCAACATTGCTGATTTGCTAAAGGAAGACAAGTCTGTTAGAGGGTGGGGTTTTGAGGGTGTGGGGTAGGGAAGTGCCATGAGTGGCCCGTGAAGTAATCCAAGGAACAAATAACAGGATTTCAACTCTAATATGAAGGGTGCAGTCCTTTATCAAGGCTTACTATGGGCTGGGTACACTTCTGGTACTGAAAGACTGTACAGGTGGTAATGGTAGAAGTCAGCAGCAATTTAGTGTCTGAAGACTGGGTTAGTTTGCCATTGTTCCACAACCTGGGAGGCCTAAGCAATAGATCTATCTCATAATTCTAGAACCTGGAAATCTGAGATCTAGGGTCGGCAGGGCTTAGTTCGCTTTTGGGGAGCCAGGGAAACATCAATCCCAGGCCTCTCTCCTGACTGCCAAGAGCTCTTGATGTGGCAACATAATGCTGGTCTTCACATGTTTCCCAGGTCTGTCTCTGGGTCCAAATTTCCCCCTTTTTTAAGGACATCAGCCACATTGAATTAGAGACTCACCCTATTTTACTATGACCTCATTTCAAGTTATCACGTTTATAGTGATTGTGTTTCCAAATATGACTACATTCTGGAGTACTGCAGTTTAGAATTTCAATGTATGAGTTTATGAGGGGTGCAATTCAACTTGTATCAAGTGCTGTTCAGGGATCTCCTTCCTCTGTTTTCTGCTTCTGCCCATGTTGTAAAAGGAATTCCACCAGAGCCACTTCTGTTCAATTCTGGACAAGTTTATTTGGTAGGTCAGTGCCTGACCACCGGTGGGTGGGCCATTGTGACTGTGCTCCTGGCTTAACTCTCCCTTGCCTGCTTGGTCTTCCTGGCCCTTGTCCCTATGGGGAAACACCCACAAGCCCACTGCACACTCTCTTGCTCTAGCTTCATGCCCATGTGGCTGACAGGGAAAGGGCATGCCAGGTTCCCAACACTTGGCATTCCTGTCAGGAATGAGGCTGAGGCTGAGGACTGTATTCAGAGTGAGAATCACCCTTTAGATCTGACCTGGAAGCGTGATACAGATTGTAATTACAAAATCATATATTATCAGTTTTCATAGAAACCTATAGCAGGAGTTGGGATGTAGCTCAGCAGTGGAGTGCTTGCCTAGAATGTGTGAAGCCCTGGGTTCAATTTCTAAAACATACACACAATAACAAAAAATACAAAATAGAAACAATGGCACCATCCATAAGAAGGCGTTAAGAAGAAATGTTTTCAAACAAAGTTCACTTTATTATATTAATTTTACATTGTAAAACAATGAACCTCAGACTTGTCTAAATCCTCTTGCTGACTCTCTTGTAGACAATATCACCCAATGTCATGGTCTGAAAGTCAGAAAAGACATCATGAAATGCTTATCTAAGATGAATTGTAAAACAAACAAGTAAATTTTCCTAAATGGCTTCAAAAATGAGCTAACACATGAAACAACTTAAAACATTTCCATTTTCTTTAGGAGCAGATGAATTGTTGACAATTTTTTCTAAAACACTACACTGTGTCTTTGTTACTTCACTTGCTCCTGTGGAGGGCTGTCCTGTAAGTTACCAAACTGTTTCTGCACTAATGACAGCGATAGCAAGACCATCCAAAGCAGCCCAATCCAAAGTCTGAAAATTTCATTGAGATCTATGATGCACTGACTGCATGTTGTTGAGTATCAAGGATATGTGACATATTTACACAGATGTACTGAGCTAGCCTGGAACATAGTGATGACTATACAATTTTCTGTCTAAGCTTGTGAAGGAAACATATGAGAACACCAGATGTGGGCTTGTGTGTGTGGATCAGTGGTAGAATGCTTGCCTAGAATGTGCAGAGTCCAGGATTCTAGCCTCAGAGCAGCACAGTAAAACCCAAAAGAACACTGGCTACATCAACTTTAGGGATGTTGTGGGGCAGTCCCTCCACCACCCTTGGTTCTCTTGAACAAGACTGTTTTGCCCTATTATGATATCAAATGGAAAAGGAGTCCCTTAGTTCTAACAGCCATTCCATGGGCTACTACCTGATTATGAAATATGTTGTCTACTTCACTCATAGGAGGCAGGGGAATTAGGGGAGATATGCCTGGACTCAGTCCAGGGTAATTCCTCCCTGCTCTCTTGTTCTGCTGTGGGAATGATGGACAGGAGTGGGAACTGAATGTGTTTCATGACTGATACCCTTCTCTCCCTGGCTGAGGGAGTTTCCATGAGCAGGTGATGACAGCCTGCTTGGACTGGGATCTGCCTTCTGTGACCCTTTAAAGCACATTCTGGGTGCGAAGGTGAGCTGGTGGAACCTAACCATGGGAGAAACACTGAAGATAATCCTGCAAATTGGGACCAGGTGTGGGCTGACAAGCATGGAGAATGATTGAATATGATTACATGGCCAGAGTGTGCCACTCTTAAACTGCCATAAACTTGCCAGAAATGTGACTGCACACAAGTGCCAAGTGGGCAGAGGCACTTATTAGACACTCTGGCTTGTGGAAGATGGAAGCCCTCATGGCTTGTTAGTTAGTGCCAAGGTAGAAAGAAGGGCGGTGGTGATTAATTACAACCACACCATAAACAAGGAATAGCAATGAAAGAGCCAAACATAGCCTCCCATGTGTGCAAGTTGCATTGATGGGAAGTGTTGCTCCAGGATCACTGGGGGCTCCAACTGAATGAAGTCTGTGGAAATCTCTAGATTTAGTGAACTACTACCCTATAGTCTGAGTGGGAGGGTTGTGACCTCATCTCAGCAGAAACAGGAAAAGGCAAACTATGCTCTGTATGTCCTGTCCGGTGCCTCAGCACACCAAGCAACCCTCTGACTCCATTCCACTTGGGTGTTGTTTGGGTAAAGGGAAGAGAAGCAGGGAGAAGCGAGGAGGAAGGAACAGGGGTGGGAGTAGCTGGCTGCAGATGTGGAAGTAGAAGACAGCCTGTAGGTGTATGAGGGGGTGGGAGACATCAGGTGAATTAGAAAAGGGCACCCCCATGGGGCTGGAGAGATAGCTCAGTGGTTAAGAGCACTGCCTACTATTGCAAAGGACCAGGCTTCGATTCCCAGCACCCACATGGCAGCTAACAACTGCCTGTAACTCTAGTTCCAGGGAATCCGACACCCTCTTCTGACCTCTGCAGGCATTGTATGACACAGGTGCACCTACCCACATGTAGGCAACACACTCATATACATAAAGTAAAAATAATAAATAAAATATTTTCAAAAATGGAAAAAGGTGCCTCTTCCTTCTCAGATACTTCTCTAATACCTGTTCAAAAACCATCCTGATATTCTGCTGTGATTTGGTTAGACCAAGACTGCTGAAAGATTATACTGAGTGTGGAAATCCGCGCTGTCTGTAATGTGAACAGCTTCATCCTAAGCGAGGGTGGTGAACAACTGTGCATGGTAGCCCAAGAGACAGACACAATCCAAGGGAATCCTGGCTCTGTCATTTGAAGCTGGCCATAGCCTTAGTTCCCCACTTAGAAAAGTGTTATTCAAAAGATTCAAGACAATGTGTGTAAACTATTTGATATGTAATGGATCCTCACAAGTAGTAAAGGATATTGATAAAAGGAAAGATGGAGAGTCAGAGTCTCGGAGTAGGAAGAGATGGAGCATGGGAAATGGAGTGCAGCTGGCCCTCATCCCCACGTCCCTTGAGCACTGGGAACAAGCCTAGAGTGCAACTTACATGGGTGATTGTGTCTCCGTTGAATTCAGTCACAGACTTGATATTTTTGAAGGTTGTTACCATTTTATTGTCACCTTCCAACTTAACCACCATCTGCATGAGACAGAGATATGGCCTGTGAGAAGAGGACTAGGGATAGGGCTAATGAGCTTGGTTCATCTGCATGGCATCAACTGACAACGACCCAGACATCCTGACCCTGTACTCTTAGCACAATTCTCTGACTCTAAATGGAAATGGGGGTGCATTTATGCATGAAAGAAAATGTCTTCTCTTGTTAGGATTTCAGTTTATGGCATGTGATCTAGAGAAGAGGATGCCCCCCCCAAGAAAAGATAAAAGCAAGTAAAATTCCCTTTCTCTAAATTCAACACTCAAATCACGAGTGTATGCTGGTCCTTCCAAAAATTAGTCTTTCCTGTTGTGGACCCATTCCCAAGCCTTAGACATCTAGACAGAAGTAAGAGAAACCAAACAGTGGTAGGACACAGTGGTGCAGGCCTGTAGTAACAGCACTCAGGCGGCAGAGGCAGGGGAATCTTCAGTTTGAGGCCAGTCTGGGCTACAAAGCAAGGTGCTGGCTCAGAAAAAAAAAAAAAAGAAGGAAGGAAGGAAGGAACCTAATCAGGGGTAAAAGACATTGACCAAAGTTAAAAATACGCCTCCAAAATGGGCAGTTGGAAAAGGCCAATGATAAAACCCATGATGACCCATCTTGGCATGAGCAAATCACGAAAATTCCCCTTTGCACTTCACCTTGACCTCCTTGACCTGTAATGCTGTATCTTAGGGAGGCAGAAATAAAAGCAATCCAGAGGTAGAGAGGCTCATGCTTAGCCCAAGGCACAAAGTCTAGAAAGGTAGGAGCACAGAACAGTTATGCAATGCCACTGGCTAGCCTGGGGTTGCAGACCTTGTAGGGAGGAGCAGAGGCCCACACTGGTAGGAACTGTGGCCTTGTTATCAGCTGTCCATTCCTCACATAGTCTATGCTCAACTGGTAACTGTGGCCTGAGGCCACAGTCCAGAGCAGGTGAAACTGCCCTGGCTCAGATCAAGGATTTTACTGACGTCCATTTGTCCCAGTTCTGGCCCTTCCTTGGAAGACTCAGAATCAGGAGCACTGGGCCCAGGAGATCCTGAGACCGAGGCTCCTGCTCTATGTTGGCTTTCCCCCAGATCCTCCAAAATGGAGAGCTCAGGCGTGGGAGTCACGGAACCCCTCCGACAAAGAGATTATCTTCTCTCAGAGCTCTCTTTGTCTCAGGTGGGTTCAGAGACATGGTATCTATTAGGAGTTTGGGGAAGCAGAAGGCAGAAGGCAGGGGTACCACATACCTTGACCTTTTCCCCAGTCATGGTCTCCAGCTCACACTCCTCCCCCAAGGTGAACTCATTCTGGATCACTTTGGATCCATGGGTGATGGTGAGCTTGATATGCTTCCCATTGTGGACGATTTCCGATACCCCCTTGAGGTCCTTGCCCTTCTGGATGAGATCATCAGGCAAACCTGGTAGAAACCAGCTGAGGTTAGAGACTACAGCAGGTTACACAGCCAAGATAAACAAAAGAAACGGTGTGTTGGAGAGGAGAGGAGGCCACACATGCTTATAGCAGAGCAGTGAGCAGAAAGGCCTTTGGCTTCTGACAGGGAAAGTCAGCAGCCTGGCATGACTGCCACTATCTTACCAGCTGTTCTTTTTTGTTTTTTAAGAGGGAGACAGGATTCCGTGTATACCAGACTGGCCTTGAATTCACTATGTAGTTAAAGATGGTTTTGAATTTACCGATCCTCCGGCCTCCACCTCCCCAGTGCTGGGATTGCAGGCACATGGTACCATGAAACCCAGGGTTTCATGCATGCTAGGCAAGCACTATACCAAATGAACTACATTCCCAGACAGCAGTTCATTTACAGTAAGGATCCTTCTCTGGCCTGAGGAACCTTTTCTCTATGGCTGCCTACTTCTCACTTATTTTCCTTCCCCAGTCCCTCTATCTTTACTGGCCTTATTATTGAAGTGGGAATATTTCATCCTCTAGAGTGTTTATCTTTCATATCAAATTACTGCTGAAATGATAAAGAAGCTTCTAAAAATTAGACCAGGATCACTGCACAAAGCAGGGACGTGCTGGGCAAATTTGCTGTGGCCTTGGGAGTCAAAGGCTCTTTGGGGCTGATATACCAAAGTCCCTTGATCTGGAATAGGGCTTTGCAAATTTCATAGCTCAGCTGTGGCTTTACATGAATGAAGGTTCATGGAAACCATGTGTGTCGACAACAGCAGTGGAGGGTCCTTAGCTCAGGTCAGGGATGCTGGGAATAGCAAGTGGTGTGGCCTGTCTGTGGAAGCTGAGTCCTGAGATGGCCCGAGTCCTTCTTTCCCTGCACTTGCTGTTTCCCTTCTTCTCTGTCTTGATAAAGATGCCCTCCCTTGTCATGCTGCACCCTCTGCTCACACGGTTCTTCTTCCCTGGAACACACTTTCCTCTCCCTGGGTCCCAGGCTCAGCCTTCACCACCATGCAGTTTTCACTCCCACAGACTCCTGTATCCTGGGGGGAACAGGAAGTTAAAATGGGGTTTCTGAGAATCAGCACTTGCTTTGAACTCCAACTGAAACACTTCCTACTGTCTGAGATTGGTCACAGCACATCCCCTTTCTTGGCTTCAGTTGCCTCAACTATAAAATGGGAAAATACAGTGATGAACTCAGAGTTTTATGAGGATTAAATGGCATAGTGCCTGGTAGAGAGTCCTACAAGCTGGGGACATTTCACTACACCTTTTTCTTCTCTGTCTCTGAACCGTGCTTTGAGGATTGTAGCTCATCATAATCTGTCTCCCTAGTTTATACATCAAGCATGGTGCTTGAAGTGTGGTTGGCCTTGAACCAGTGTTTCCAGATTGACTGACTAACTGAATGAATAAATGAACAAGGTCACAGAATGACAACAAGGTATTCAGCAGACATACGCTTCAATCCCAACTGCACCCCGGATCAGTGCTGCTTCCACAGTTTCTGGGGTGGCCTTGTCCAGTCAGTAACAGCTCAAGTGGCAAGAGACCAAGAAAGTCAGTAAGTACCCCGGTTTAGTATAGCCTGAAACTGCCCTCCTACCTCAACTCAGGCATCTGGCAGCAGGGCCAGACCCTCCCTGCTAGGATCAAAGTCTTGGTGTCTTGTCCAGCACTCACCAATTGCCTTCATGAAGGGCTCAAAGTTTTCCTGGCTCTGTACTTGGTACTTGCCGGAGAAGTTCATGGTGGCGATGAGGCTCCCTCTTCACAGCTGACCCACAACAGCTCTGTCTGCCAGACCATCCACTGTTGGCTATTTTATAAGGGGCTTCTTCCTCTTTGAATATAGGCCACAGGTCAGTAGCTGCCGATTTCTTTATGGCCAGGTTCAAACATTAACTCCTGAGAGCAATGGTCAACGATAAAAACCAGGATGGGCAAGGCAGAGGTTTGCTCCAATTCAGCAAACATTAGTGAGCACCAGACAAGTGCAAAGCTCCATACACTGTTGCCGCCTTTAAGGTGACTCACTACCCCTCATGAAATAAGTGTATGTGCATGAAATGTATGTGTATATATATGTGCACATATACCTATGTATAATGGACACATGTATTATGTGCATAACAATATGCATATGCATATATATGTGGATATATGTATATGTCTACATGTATTGTTATGAGCATGATTGTATATGTTTATAAACATTCATCTATATGTGTACATGTGTGTATATGTACATATACTTATTTCATGAGGGGTAGTGAGTCACCTTAAAGGCAACAGTGTATGGAGCTTTTGCATATGTGTGTAACAGAGAGAAATAACCTTGAGCTCAAAATCTTCCATAAACTTATGTTTGTTTCCCAATCTTTTTACTACCCGAACTTAATTTTGCAGACTTATCATCAGTCCCTAGTGCTGTTTTCTATTGTGAGAATTCTTCAGTGATGATTCTAGGCAGTTCCACAGTACAGACAAATCTCCCTTTTGAAATGTTAACAGTGGTGGCTATCAGCTCTTTAAACCTGGTGTGTGGAGACTGAGATGCATTTGACTTGGCAGAGACAAAGCGATGGAAAGAGAGAAGGCAGTGTCTGCTGACATGCCCACCCCTGCCTCAAATGTGGGAATAAAGGACTGGGCTGACATATGGGAATTTGTGGAGCTCCCAGACTGGTGCTGGTCTTGGGGAGATGGTATAGGAACATTTTCAGAGATCTCGGGATGTTCTTGTTGCCATAGTGGTTATACCCAGTGAGCCCTCATCCCCAACCTGTTGCCTTTGAGGCAGTTCTCAGTAAGCACCACATCGCTTCCTATTTCTCTCTTGTGTGGACTTTGACTTCAGCCTCTTCACTCTCAGCTGCCAGCCTTCCATCCTCCATCTTCTCTTCAAGGCAGCTACAGACACTGTCCTACTGAGCATGCGAAGTGTCAGTCTTTGGTATAAATCTATGATAGTCCCTACTGCTCCAGAGGCCACAGGTCCTGGATAGCAGAGAAGGTTCCAGTGTATGCTGTCCTGATGACTGCTCTCAGTAGAACTTGTACTTTGCTACTATGAACTCTTGTTTTTGGCTTGGAAAGTGATTGTCATTGTCTAAACTTGTAGCAGAGCTGTCAGACTTGCAAAACTCAGCTTTGGTTTACCTTCTGCCCCTTCCAACCCCCGCCTGCATCTATCTTCTCTCTCTGGCAGTCACATTTGTTGGGTCAGCTGAACACATCAGGGGCATCCACGGCCTGCATTTGTTTCAGGCCTGCTGTCTTTGTTTCCCCTCTGCACCTGTCTGCCTCCCTGTGCCTCCTCTGGTCTCACAGGGCCCTTTGCACATATGCCCATTCTAACTTCCCCATTCAGCTGGGCTCATTTCTCTACATTCTTCCCAGTGTGCTTCTTCTTTGGTATTCACAATGCCTGGCACATAGAAGAGCTTGGTCTGTGACGGGTCAGCAAAGATAAACCATCAAAAGATAACAAGGTTAAAGGCTCTGTGGTTAAAGGGAAGCAAGAGATATGGAATAGTCATGTCAGCACATCACCCTGTAATCAGTGAGCCTTCATGGTGTGTGAGATTCCAGATGGAGAGAGAGAGAGAGAGAGAGAGAGAGAGAGAGAGAGAGAGAGCTGAATCTTGGCTGAGAATCCAGGAGGCGAGGATGTGTTGGCAATGTGAGAGCCCTCTACTCTCATCTCACCACCCTCTGTGTTCTTTCTCTTTTCTCTGCAGCTGAGCTCTGCCATCCCAGTCTGTGCAAGCCCATGGTGTGTGAGATTCCAGATGGATCTTTCTCTGTTCCTAGACAGATCCCTCCTACTTTCAGCCATTCACCAGAACGATTAAGTTCTTATTCCATGGATCCGCCCAGCTGTAGCCTCCTTTGTACCTGGAAACCTGCTCTAAGACCCACAGATATAAGGTTCTGGTTGGGCACATGGTAGGATAATGTGTGCAGGTGAGAACTCATGCCAGGAGGCACTGATGCCCCAGAAGGATGCATGAGGAGCTTGGGACTAACAGCCCATGCAAGCCCACAGCACAGTCCATACTACCTCCAAGGTTTATAAATGCTGATCCAGCAAAACACTTCTGAAATCCTATACACACATGCCCAATGCCAGAGCCCTTCTCTCTCACCCCCGAAAAGTGGAGTATACCTGTTATGGGGGAAGTAACTGATTTTGGAGCAATGAGAACAGAGTTTTTAGTTGAGTGTGCTATCATATGAAGCCTGGCCCTAGCACAGAGGGCCACTCTGCTCTGCCTTCCCTGCTCGGGCCTTTTTGAATATTGTCAAAGACTATTTGACAGTCCACACATCAGATTAGGACTTCCTGAGCATGCTTGTGTGTTGAGAACTCAGGGCCATTTATAGACATCCAACCACCTGAGCACAGGGACAGGAATGAGCAAGGTGGCTCAAAGAATGATGGGAACATGTAAGATGCCTTTCATATTATCCTGGATCTTGAGTGTATATCTTTTAATGTGACTCAAACTTGTGAATGGGAACAATTTAGACACTGACCTTCAGGTAGGAAACTGAATTTTCACTTCTCTTTATGTAAGAAAGTGAAAATTTTACCATGTGAAGAAGTTGCATGAGAATTCTCTCTCTCTCTCTCTCTCTCTCTCTCTCTCTCTCTCTCTCTCTCCTAGATGAGTTTCTTGGAGACAATTTGTTTGACATTCTTCCAACCTGGGCATCAGCAAGAGCCAAGTTGAAGAAAGAATTGTCCTCTTGTGCAGAAGACCAGAAAAAGTTGGTGTGTCTTCCTCCCAAGAGAGGAGGAATTTGTGAGACTGCAGCCATGCTCAGGTATACCACCCAGCCTGCTACCATCTTGCAGCATAATAAATTAATCTCTCAAAAAGTAAGAGAAGGTAGAGGAGGAGGAAGAAGAGGAGGAGGAGGAGGAGGAGTCAGTAAGAGTTTGGAGCCATAGTCCACTAAGACATCTCCAGTGGCCACAGGCAGGGATTCTAGGAAGGCCTGTGATGACTTTGAGACTGCTTTTTTGCTCTAAAGAGAATTCTCTTCCATCTTTCCTTAATTCCCTCCCCCACTGCCTCACAAGCTTGTATAAGATATAATTGTTGGGACTGGGGATGTAGCTCTGTTTGTAGAGTGCTTTCCTAGGTTGCATAAAGTCCTGGGTTACAGCCTCACACTGCACAAACTGGGCATGGTCTTGCATATCTGTAATCCCAGCACTTAGTAGGTAGAGGCAGGAGGATCAGAAACTCAAGGCCATCCTTGGCTATATATTGGTTTTGAAGTCAGCCTGGGCTGTATGGGACCAAGTTTTATTTTTTTTTAAAGAAGATGCAGTTATGAGTCACTGTATGTGCAAGCAGATGAAGATAAAAGACCGAGTTGTGTTTCTGTATTGATGTGATGGAGCTGAGGCAGCCCACCTGGAAGCAGTGCTAGGAACAGTGTCCTTGGGAAAGTCTTCCCCTAGAGGATCCCAGAAACCAAAGGGGGGGCTTTGGAGGTATTCAAGCTTATTTTATCTAGATCCAGTGAGTATATGATCCTAGATGACACTGGGGTTATGTATGATACCTAACAGCTGGGTTGCAGCTGGCCTATGCCGGTCTGATGACCATGCTATGGTGGAACTTTGTGATACAATTAAGACCGTAGCTGAGTGCTCTTCACTGTAGCTGTCATAGAGGGGCAGTCACAGGAGCCTGGGTCAGTGAAACCAAGTGCTTTGTTTTCAGGTGCATCATGGGGGCCCTGCCATCTATTCTGATTCTGAAAACTTCCAGCATTTGGTGCAAATGCATACTCACCTTACATATGAGGCTGTTCTTAGCAGCCAGGAGATGCATCTAACTTTCCTCTAGGACAGGTACATACGATATCATTAACCTACCAAACAGGTGTTTCTATACCTCATCTGGCCTGCTTCACCCATCACCGCCCAAGGAAGACTTCTAACAGTGGTAAAGTACTAACCTAGTATGTACACAATCCCTACCACATGGGTCAAAAGAAGGAAAAAAGGAAACAAAGGAAAGACAGCAGGACAAGAGGAAGGAAAGGAGGGAGAGGGAAAGCTTAGGAGCTTTGTAGTCTAATATCAATGAAATTATCACTAAGGTGAGAGTGATGGAGTCTCTGTCACCCCCACTCCACCCAGCCCATCTGCCAAGTGCTCATTTGGGAGGACCTATGGGCAGTGGCCTAGTTCTACCATGCCTCGTGTGTTGAACTTCCTTCTGGACACCACACTGATATGAAAGCGATACCTGACACACAAAATGTCACACCATAGACCTTCTTTCCTTGATCATGGATTTTGAGTGATGTACTATACAGTACAGCTTTCTAGGGTATAAGGTAGGACATGGGAAGGAAGGACATTCAAATTTCTCCTTTGGGCAAGTCAACATTAATCTCAGAGGCCTCTAGGAAGCTTGGGTTGGGGGTAGCTTTTCTGGAATCTGAGGAAGAGCAGGATGTGTGAGCCAATTCCATATGAGCCATCTGCTCAGTCTTTTGTTTCCTGTCTACTAACCTAGGAGCCAACCCTGGGGTCAAGGACCTAGCTTAGCAGGTGAATATTCCATATGAGCCATCTGCTCAGTCTTTTGTTTCCTGTCTACTAACCTAGGCAGTGCCTAGGAGCCAACCCTGGGGTCAAGGACCTAGCTTAGCAGGTGAACTGCTCATTTTATAATTGGCTTCATCATTGATTCCCTTGTTTAAAACAGTTTTCAACTGGTTCTCTCGGGGTTTCAAGATATGCTGTCATGTTATTTATAAATTATGATAATTTTGTCTCTGATTTTAATGCACATACAAAAGTTACTTATAATATCATCAAATTTTAAAATAATTTGTGCTGAAGAGA